ATATGCTTTGTTAAGTGCATTTTTATATCTGCTCTTAGAAGTTGGCTAAATTTTTTTTTAAAGATTTTATTTATTTATTTGAGAGAGAGAGAATGAGAGAGAGCACATGAGAGGGGGGAGGGTCAGAGGGAGAAGCAGACTCCCTGCCGAGCAGGGAGCCCGATGCGGGACTCGATCCCGGGACTCCAGGATCATGATCTGAGCTGAAGGCAGTCGCTCAACCGAGCCACCCAGGCGCCCCAAAAGTTGGCTAAATTTTTAATTGTAGAAGCCACACACCTTTAGGATGTCATCAGAACTAGAGACTGACCAAGAAAAAGTTTAGATTATATTCCTCCTAACTCTCGGGGGCGGGGGGGGGGGGTTGGTATCAGCCGTAGGAAGCAGCTTACAAATCCCTCTTACCAAGATTTTCTCTTTGTCTCTGCTTTTCTGCCGAGTTTCATTTTCACTCACAGTGTGTTGAAAGGCAGTATGGAGTCATGCAACATTAAACCGATTACAAACTGGGGACATTACAGGCCAATGGTGAAGCTTGCAACTTAAATAGCAAATTCTCGATAGTGGATAAAATTATGTTATTCGGGTTTCTGCAATATTGAAGCTTTGATAGCAAAGTGCAAAAAGATGACCAAAAGCGTAATGGCAGGAGCACTGCCTATTTCCTAAAACATCAGTAATTCAAACTCTTCCCTGGCATGAGGACATCACTGAGGTAACATCATTAGTTTTCATTAAAGCCAAGGTTGGTAGAAGCGACCTTCAGTTGGAAGAGCTAGCCAGGCCAAGTTTTATTTGCCTGTACCACAGACAATAGCTCTTGATCATGGCTTTGCAGGCACTGAAATGACAGAAAGGCCAGAAGATAAACCTAAGCAAACATCAAATTAAGAGGAAATTCATAAATCATCTACTGGTTAGTTAAGTAATGTGACCACACATGTTTTCAAGAATAAAGGGCCTGGCGAACTTTTCATTCTGTAATCATACGATATGTTTAACTCTCCTGCCATTCTTGAGAATCCAGTATGTAATTTAGGTAAATACACACCCTAATTTGGCTGTACCTAAATCTTTTTCAAATGGGAGAAAAGTCATGCTCAGGAAGCAAAGGCTGAGAATTTCAAATCTGTTTCAAAGTGGAAATTCTACATCCTACCCTCAGAGCTTAGCTCTACTCCAAGGCTATAACCTCAAACGGCCAAACTTTTTTGTAATATCAAATTCCCCCATTTTCCCAACATTTATTAGAAGTTTTAACATAAACTGAAATGATAAAATGAGATATTTATGAACAGAATTATTTTTTTTTTAAAGATTTTATTTATTTATTTGAGAGAGAGAGAGAGAGCACATGAGAGGGGGAAGGCCAGAGGGAGAAGCAGACTCCCCGCTGAGCAGGGAGCCCGATGCGGGACTCGATCCTGGGACTCCAGGATCATGACCTGAGCCGAAGGCAGTCGCTTAACCAACTGAGCCACCCAGGCACCCGAACAGAATTATTTTTTAACAGCAGCAGTGGGTAATGCCTAAATCCAAGGGACAAAGCAACATTACAGAAAAGGACAGCTACCAGAAGGTTTTCCATTTTGTCTACTTCTGGGCTTTTTCAAAGTAAAACCTGAAACAGCTGATTATCTCTTTTGAACTTTTAGGATCTCACAGGATGATACTCTATTATAATAATGCTTTACAGTAACAGGTTCATAATTACCCCTTTATCAATGGAAAGCATTATCTCTGGGATGGGGCAGGGCCAAGAGAAGAAAAAGAGGCAGAAGACTTTCTCCGCCCAGCTCTCTGACTCCGCCCCACCCCAATGGGCCTCTTTCCAGCTACGGTACATTAACAGGTCCCTGAGGAAATCCCAGGTCTGGGGAGACCTTTAAAAACCACTTAAACCTGGCAGCTATATAGCTGAAAAAACGATAGCTTCAGACTATAAGCTGTAAAGAAATGGAAGCCTCAATTTACTTTTGCTCATGCATCCATTCCATGGAAACATATGAAACCCTACCTACCGTGTGCTGGGCTTTGGGCTAAGGACTGGAGAGGCCCAGATAAAGAGGAAAAGCTGACTCTCTCCTCCCAAGTAATTTCACTTCTGGAACATTTCTTCTCCCTCTCTGGGTAAAAAGCCACACGCCAGCAACCGTCCTTGACTGCCTGTTAGCCTCTGCAGACCTCTGGTCAGGCACCTTCATTCCCGAAGGCTTGGCAGCCCAGGTTCACAGTTCTCTCTTGCCTGGTTCTGGCCCCGATTCTGGATGTTTTCAACATGGGCAGGGATGACTGGGGCATCACTCTTGACTCACTCCCCTAACTTCCTGTTTCATCTCCACGCAAGTTCACATCTACACCACCCACTCAAATGGTCATAGCCAAGACGCAGTCACCTGGACCTGTTCCACTCATGAAACAATGTTTAGCTATGCTATTCTCTGACCACAACTTGCCAGCCTTCCAGTTACTTCCACACCACCTCTTCCTATGCCTCCCTCAACAGTCAGCCCCTTGATCCCTCTACCTCCTGACTACCATCTTCCACATGACAACGTGGCCTTGACAGACAGCACTTCAGCTACTTAACCACTCTTTTGCCCAAATCCCCCCCTCTCTTGCCCAGCTGTTGTGTACCCACCTGTGATGGACCCATCCGGCTCCTGAGTACTGAGTGAGCCCCGAGCAATCCCACACCCGTGCAGCTTGGTACTGCTACAGAACACCGAGTGCACTGGACTCCTGCTCACATCAGCCCTCTTCTCTCTTCTTCTCCAGAAAGGTGAACCCACTCACAACCCTATCACCCTCTGCTCCCAACTGCAGCAGAGGAACTCTATCTCCATGCAGAAAACAAACCTCCACATGGCTTCCTGTACCCTCCGGCCCCTAGATCTCCTTAGCTACCCGGACCTGCACAGATCCCTGCCTCGCCCTCTCCCCCCCCATTACAGTGGAAGAGAGATGCCCCTGCTTTCTCTTGGCTCCTAGATTACCTCCCCTATGCTCTGAGAAGTCCCATTTTTTATTATCTTGTTCTCTCTTCTTCTCGTCTTCATTTAAATGGACTCAAGTGTCTCTCAACTTATAAGTATGTATACTTCATTAACGCCTCCGTCCATGGCAGCCAACTGCCACCCCCCTTTCCCTCCCCCTTTCAAACTAAATTTCTCCAAGACTGACCAGGCAGTATGGTCTTTACATCCGCTTCCGATTTAAGCCCACCTCGCCATCTCCACCGTGCTTCTGAGAATCTCACTGAAGTTAGTAAGGACCTCCTTGTTGCTAAATCCAATGGGCACTTGCACCAACTCCATGCTGACCTCCCTGCCCACCTGCCCCTGGTGGCTGGCCACTTCTTTCCTCCCACACAGTACATGGCACTAGAGTTCTTGGTATCTTCCTTCTCCCCCTCTGGCCACTTCTTGGCAATTCCCTCTTATAGCCTACATACTCTCCTCTTCCTGTGCACGCTCTCCCTGAGCCTCTACATGCTGAAGAGTCCTAAATATTTTTTGTCTATTTCTCCTGAGCATCACAGCTTCATGTCCACCTCTCCCAGGCAAGTGCACCATTCCCCCAAGCGAGCACCTCATAGCTTCTCTTGAGTTCCCCTCACCCACCCCACCAAGTTCATCACTAAGGCCTGTCAATGTCACCTGTTACGTGTGTCTCAGTTGTCTCCACCTCTCTCCTTTCCTCCAGTGCCCAGAACTGCTCCACCAGTCCCTCTCGTCAGCTGCACAACCCCTGCCCTCAATCCACACTCTATTGCATGGCCATGATGACCTTTCTCAAGGAAAATCCCATTGTGTCACCCCCTTGCGTGGCTCCCCACTGACCTCTCAATTCTTGACATAAATTTGAAAAACCTTTTACAATCCACCTCCCACTTCTCTCTCCACCAAATGTTTCACCACAGCCCCTCCTTGGGACTCTGTGCTCCCGCTGTGCTCAAGTACTTTCAGTTCCTGAAGGCATCAGCATGCGCTATTCCTTCTGACTAGAACACTCCTCCTAGAGTGAGCTCTACTAACCCTCCGGGACGCACAGAACTTAGGTACCACCTCTTCCAGCAAAGCCTCTCTGAACCTCACCCCCGCAACTGGCTGTTCTCATAGTACCCCATTCTTCCACTGTCACACGGCTAAATATAGGCCTTTGAAACCATCTCTTCACTTTTCCTCCAGGTGCCCATCAAGTGTGGCAAAGACACGGTATCACTTGATTTCTCTTTTTTAACAGACTGTGCACATTCACAATGATCTTATATACATTCACCTATGTTTCCAGACTTTATGAACACCCTTAATCTCCCTCATTAGACTACAAGGGCCATCAGGGTAGGGACTGGGGCAATGCCTGTCTGTTTCATGGCTCTATCATCAATCAGGCCTTCAAACAACATGTTCTAATTAACTGTGATGATAACGGATGGTTATACATAAACCATGAGATGAAGACATGGAACTACAGGACACTTCCAGACTTCCCCCACTGCTGTATGATAATGAGCAAAAGCAGAGAAACTAACCTGTCATCTGTCCTCCATCACAGCATCCATCCGAACCCTGGCATTCAAGCTAATAACCTACTCACACCTGCGCAATGTGGTTTGGCTAAGGCAGATGTAGAATACCATTAAAATACATTTTAGAAGAAGAAATAAAGGTAGGAGAGGGGGAAAGATTTCAAGTTTCATAAAGGTAACTCTGGATGCCAGTGCCCTTAGTTGGAAAATATAAATTATCAATATCTTATCAATTCAACATCAGTAGCTGAGGAATGAATGGTGACAGGAGAGATTCTTAACAGTCTAACAAAACAGTTTAGGGCACACGAGGCCAAAGAGATTTTTAAAAAGGGAATTCTATGTTACAGCTGGACTTGCGAGAGCTATTTCTCCCCTCTCCAAGTGGAAATACCCCTGGACCCACTTTTTTTTTTTTTTAAAAGCCAAGAGGAACCATCATGTGTTTCAGGCACCAGTTAATACTCACAGCAAAGGGCCTTCTGCAGTCTTCGGAGTTTCATGGCAGTCCTATAAGCTGAGAACCTGACATTATTCAGGTCAGCTGAGGAAAAAAGGGACAAAACAAAGATCATTTGTTATTTCAACAGAAAACACAAAAACTCCCACTGTTTTGGAAACAACAACAACAGTAACTTAGGAAAATCTCTTGTACATATGCCCCACGTTTTGGGAGGTGAAAATTCTGCCCATTTGGGGAAAAAGCAAAAACAAGCAAACAAACAAAAAGTCTCTTTGCTGTCTGATGATCACGCAAACTAAATTCTATGAATGAGTACACTGGGCATCCATGTTCCTTGTTCCTGAAAGGGAAGAGACAGACAGGCATTTTTTTTTTTCTTCTAGACGATAACCTCGGTTCTACTGGAGAGGATCTTTGCTACACAAGATTCAAGAGAACAAGGAAGGTTATTTTTGAAATAGCTATTAGAACTTAGCAAACAATCAAGCGGCAATATCATACTTTTGGGGGGTCTGCGGTTTGTTTTTTTTAAGTAGAGATGACTTTTTTATTGAAAAGAACATTTCATTAATGAAAATAGAGGAGGTCTTCTAGAAAAGATAAAAGTTTAAGACAAAGATCTCAGGTACATGAAAAGCATGTTTGTGTAATTTAAAATCACAGTGGAAGAGCTCTAGGCTTTAAGGAATTAGTCTTGGATTTATTTTGCTGATGATATTCGTGTTTTTTCCCAAGTTTTTCTTCAAATTCCAGTCAGTCAGCAAACAGTGCAGTATTAGTGCTTTATCACTTATATACGACACCCGGTGCTCATCACAACACGAGCCCTCCTTAACACCCACCACCCATTTAATATTTTTTTCTGATTGTAAAAGTTACACGTGCTCACTGTGGCAAATTTCGAAATCAAAGAAAAATATAAAATCCAGTAAACAAATCACCCATAATCCCATGACACAAAGAGAGCCACCGTCAACATTTTGAGAATTTTTGATCCAACGTATGTGTGTGTCTGTGCGCGTGAGATGTATTTTAAAATGTAATCAGGACTAAAATAAACATTTAGTTTATATTCTAAGGTGCCACGATTCTAATACTGAGCACAGATGAACGTCTCAACAATCTCTGCTACTGTGGTTTCTAAGCCACCTGTCTATCAAGCCCCCCACTCGCCTGACCCAGCCCTGAGCTTTATTTCCATGATGCCCTCACTCAAGTGTGTGCAAGCCTTGAAATACACTGGGCTTTCTGTCTTTGCTGGCATGTCTGTCGAGCTGGGTTTCGGGAACCCAGTTCCAAAAAGCTCCTTGAGGACAAGTACTCTGTCTCCTACTTCTTCCCAGGGACTTAATAGACAACTGCTCTCTGAAAAAGCAAGTCTACTACAGCTATTGAACAACCGACAGACGCAATGAATAAATGAGCAGACGAATGAGAGAGAGAGAGAGAGAACAAAACACACCGGCAAATGTCCAACTGCCACAATCACATGGCAGCCGCAAAACCAATTCTGACCGGGGCTCAGGAAAGAGAAATGAGGTCATGCATATCCAAGTTGCCCGGGTCAACATCATTAGCTGTAGGGCCTTTGCCGAGACCTAACGCAAACACCTCAACTGAAATTAGGGGACAGAAGAACAATGTCTGTCATGTATTTGAAAATATCCAGCCTGACAATAAAGAAACCCCAAAAAACGGACAGTACTAAATGCTGGCGAGGATGTGGAGCGACTGGAACTCTTCAACACAGTGCCGGTGGGAACGTAAACCAGTATTTCCACTTTGGAAAACCAGTTCAGCAGCTTCCTACGGAATTAAACATACATCTCTCTTCGGACCCAAATATTCCACTCCTGGAGATTTACCCCAAAGAAATACAGACATGTGCACAGAAAGATGTGTATGTGAGTGTCCAAAGTAATAACTTTATCCCTAACAGCGAAAACCTGGCAACAAATCATCAGGAGAAGGAATACAGACTGTGGCAGAGTCCTACCGTGGGACACTCATCTGCAGTGAAAAGGAACTAAATACTGATAATTCACCAACATCAACCGTCCCGCAGAACTGATGGTGCTGAGTAAAAGCAGCCAGATGAGAAGAGGAAATACTGGTGGACACCACTTATGTGAAAAGTTAGAACAGGCAAATGTCACCTACGCTGACGGAAGACCACACTACGTTGGCAGCCTGGAGTGGGGGGTCAGGGTGGGTAACAGACTTTAAAAAAACAGAAGGTTATCTTTTAGGTGATTGAAATGTTACATATCTTGATTGGTGTGGAGGTTTTTGAGTGTATGCATTTGTCAAAACTCTACCTATACACTTCAAAGGGATGCATTTTATCGTGTGTAGATGACGCCTTTGTAAAGCACGTTTTAAGAGTTTAAAGTAAACCCTCACGTGGACAGTACAATATGACGTGTGTGTGTATGTGTTAGCTTAAGTTACACTGCAGAGGTGGTCAGCTGCCTTAATCAGACATGCATGCTCTAGGGGTGGTTGGCTAGCAATTCATCAAAAAAGCCTCACCCCAGAGGTGGCCACCCTAAGTACTTCAGCTATATTTAGCTCCGATTCCACCAAGGGATTCATAAATTATCCTAATTAATGTTAGACAGGTTTGCTTTGGTGATATTAGTGGTTTGCCAAAGAGGAGGACTGTTGAAACGGGTTTAGACACAGTCTCTGCCCTTTGATTATGAGGATATGAGAAGAATCGATCAGACTCTCCACCTACAGAAACGGTGCCCTGGGCTGGATTCCAAAATGTCCACCTGTAGTTCACTGAACTGTTGGTTGCCTGAATTCAGTGAGATGCTCCACAGAATCCTGCTGTTAGAGCGGCGATTCTCAAACTTGAGCATACATCAGAATTACCGGGGTGGGGCCGCGAGCTAAAAAACAGATTCCCAGACCCCGCTCCCAGATATTCCGTAGATCTGGAGAGAGTCTGAGAACGTGCATCTCTTAACAAGTTTCCATGTGATTCTGATGCTGCTGGTCCAGGGACCGCACTCTGAGAACCACTTTGTTAGAGGGGCCCGGGCTAGTGTGCTCATCCGCCAAGCACTCACGAAGGCAGGGCTGTGACTTCACTCTGCCTTTTGCATTCGCCTTAAGGCTGTTCTGTGCCCTGTGGCTAATAAATGTTCTTTTGTGAAAGAGCTAGTTCTGAGACTTGCTTTCATTATAAACTGGTAGGTAGGTGTGGATAAGTTAAACTACGTCTAACTTAGCATGGCTACCAAGGCGTCCCAAAGAGTACCTGTGTGGGTCCTTGTTAGCCAAAGTGTGCTTCGAAGGCCAACAGCATCAGTATCCCTTTGGAGCTTGTTAGAAATGCAGAGTCTTAGGCCCCGCCCAGATCGATGAATCAGAATCAACATTTTTTTAAACGATTTTTTTTTAGACTTTATTTGTCAGAGGGGGAGAGAGCACACACAAGCAGGGGGAGTAGCATGCGGAGCAGGCAGAGGGAGAAGCAGGCTCCCCGCCGAGCAGGCAGCCCGATGCAGGACTCGATCCCAGGACCCTGGGATCATGACCTGAGCTGAAGGCAGACGCTTAATCAATCGAGCCACCCAGGTGTCCCCAGAATCAACATTTTAACAAGATCCCAGGTGATCCATACGGACCCTCGAGTACAATCAATTCTTTAATTGTACATTTTAACAAAGTTACTTGTTCCATGTTGTTGAAATTCAAGTATGAACTCTGCACAAAGACCTGTGTTGTCTTTTGCTTTTCTGTCTTTCTAAGTTCCATTTTGTGGGCTTTTACCAGATTATTTAATGGCAATCATGATCAATTAGACCAAAAATTCACCTCTGGGATGTATTTGTGGGTCTCTTGTTTATGATGAACACCAATAAAAAAGTACTCAATATATTAAAGGTGTCTAAAAGTGTCCTCAAAGGCAATAGGAACAGATTCCTTCTCCAAGTGAATTAACTTTTCCCTAGAGTTTGTTCTCTGCTTGGTAGAACTTGATTTACCTCCATCCCTCTGATTGTCCCTCAATGTCTCTTTTCCCTTGAGAGTAGTGGTTCTTCCTTTGTCTCTTTTCCCTAGTCATCACTGCTTACCTTCTTGGGTGGTCTCAGCCAACTCATGTCCACAAGACACGAATTCCTGTCCTCCCCTCCAAAGTGGTGTCACACCATTCGCCAGTCTGATCAGACTTGCCTTATACTTGGTAGTGCAGAGTTCCTTCGCACGCTCAGAAATAAGCCCCTTTGCCTCTTTATAAAATAAGCAACACAGAAACACAGAAACACCCCTCGTCAAGTACAGAGCACTCTTTCCTTACCACCATCCCGTAGCAGTTTCCAAGGAATAGGCCTCCAACTCCAAATTTCCTTTCATTTATTGACTTCAACTCAAGTGTGGTGTATGAATTGTGTGTCAGTCACACATCTTAGCAGAAGATACTAGCAAAAACTTTCTCTTCTTTTTCTCTTTCTTTCTAATCCTCCTTTTCAAATGCCTCTTAACTCATTGGTCTCATTTCCTACTATCTTCCTTCTTTCCTAAAACTAAGATCCTTCTCTTACGACCCCAATTCTACCCCCTTCCCAATTTTCCTGGTTCTATTCAGAATTCAGCACAAATGATCTAAATGAGGTCAGAAGCTTCAACTGTATTTCAGTTTATTTCAAGAACTGGCAAATTCCACCAGAAGCTACAGATCCAAGTGGGAGAGGCGAGGATGATCTGATTGTTTCAGGGTGTGGTTCACTACGGAATACTATCTGAGACAAGCATCTGGTATATTCCTGCTTTAGCAGGGCTCTCAGCTTCCCCAAAGCACTTCAAACTTTGTTCCCTTCCAAGTCCTCCTAACTACAGCATTCTGCCCCGAGTTCATTCTCTCCGACACCCATTCAGCATACTCCCAACCCACTGCCTTCTGCTGCCAGGCTTCTATGCCCTCTGGTCCAACCTCACCACTGTTCTCAGTGACTTGGAAATCGGAGAAGAAAGAAGCTAGGAAAATACCTACTTTTCATCAGAACGCAGCAGAAGCCATCCACATTTTTATCCAGTAACCATCACTGAATTACAACAGAGTTCTGGTG